TTGTACAAGAAGGAGAGGAAAGTGTACGTGACTGAGCTGGGAAAAATAGAAAGGGCGTACAGGGAGATGTTTGAGGCATGGAATAGAGAGGAAAGGACGGTAGCTGTACTGGGGCATAGGAGGTGGGTTGAAAAGGCGGGAAGGGATATCGTTAGGATAGACAGACTAGGGAAGACATTTTTGAGCCACCTTTGGCAAAGTAGAAAGGAACGATTGGCCATCGGTGATCGGTCCTGTGGGAACAATGCTCCGTCCTCTCGAGGACGCGTGGTCAATGGTCTAACCGCTAAGGCACGCAAAACATAAGAGTACGCCCCCCCCCGCCCCCCCCCCTCGGCACTCCCCAAAAAGGCAAAAAGGGCTAAATGCCCCTATCTTGTAAGTTGTGGGAAGGACACATCGCCGTCCGTACCAACTTGAAGATTGAAATCAAGTCTGAGGCGGGTCAGTTGAGCTACGTGACGAGAATACCGGAGTTCAAAAAAATATATATGTCCTCCGGAATATATTCATATCGAGCCATGTGTCCAGTCTACTCGAACGAAGGATGGATTTGATGTGTAGCGTTATCCCATCAGGATTAAGTCTGTTTCTGTGGGAATTCGTGACTTTCCCGTCAAGGTTACGAGATCAACAGGTGCTGGATATAGGTGAGAACGACTGCCGATGTGCTGATAGCAGAAGCAGCAAACAACAACAACAACCACCACCGCCACTAAGCGATGACGTCATCTCGTACAGTACACAAGTACCACCTACTGCTGTGGTTCCCCACTCCATGCACATGCCACCACCACAAGGCACACACATCACATCCATTATCGCCAAAAAACGTAAAAAACTCCGATCTTGCGCGCAACCATTAGTCCGAGAATCTCCGATATGCGCATCAAGGTTTCCCCAATATCGAACCATTATTGTTTCCCCGCATTACATTGATTGGCCCGTCCTGTTGTAGAAGTCATGCCTAGTTGTTCTTGCCCTTGCTTTTTAGGGTCCCCGCACCTTGCACTGGTTCCCTCTTGGTCCTCCACCCCCCCCAGGTACCCCGCGACAAAGTCCACCAGCAGCGACACCAGCAGCGGGTCGTGCCTTCCCCCGACCTGCAGCCCCGATACCAACAGCACGAACCCAGACGGCTGCTTGGTCGCCGGGGCAAGCCCGGACAGAGAAAATAACACCAGAACCGGAGGCAGCAGCAGCAGGAGCAGCAGCAGACGCAGCAGCAGAGGCAGCAGCAGAGGCAGCAGCAGAGGCAGCAGCAGCAGAACCAAAACGAGCAGTAGAACCAGAGCCAACCCAGGTGCAGCAGCCAAAACACAAGAAGAAGCAGCGGCACAAAGCAGCAGAAGAAGCAGCAGCAGATGCAAAAGAATCAGCAGAGGCAGAAGCACAAGAAGCAGAGGAAGCAGCAGCCAAAGCAGAGGAAGCAGCAGCAGCACACGCACAAGTAGAAGAAGCAGAAGTAGGCGCACAAGCGCCAGACGTTCACGTGTTGGTCCCCAAACACCCAAGTACGTCAAGAGGGTGTAGTGCGCACATCAAGATATCGCACACAACCCACACCAAAACGTGGCGACACTTTGAATAAAATCCACAATGTTGTCGCCGGAGAGGGGGGGGTTACCTTGCGTATCGTACGCGGTACTACTGCTTGTCCGCCTGCCTGTCAATCAATAGCAGGCAGAACTCACCTTCTTCGAAGGGGAGAGGGGGACGGGCGGAGGAATCCCGGCAGGGCACCAGTCATCGACCAACATTTCTCCCGACGCCGTGACCGTTCCCTTGACGGCGATCACCAGGCCTGGGTAGGGTAGGGGGGTCGGCAGAGTAGGGATCAAAATGATGAGAGGGGGGTATATTCTCACGTCTTGCATACCTTAGCGGTTCGGCCATGGACCACGCGTCCTCGAGAGGACGGAGCATTATTCACACATGACCGACCACCGATGGCTACTCGTTTGCTGCCAAAGGCAGCTGCACATATTGAAGAGGGGTGGGGGCGGAGGACACGAGCGAGAGACGAAGGGAAATGCTTCAAAAAGGTTCCGTCTTTCATCCAGTCCACCGTGAAAAAACACAAGAAAAAAACGTAACTTCGAGTGTCCATTTCTTTCTGTTGTCATTTTCCGAATGCGGGGAAAATCACCGAACACGTCCAAAGAAATCAACGCACACACACGTTACAGGCATTTGTGTTTTCAACCGCAGTGAAATTGGCGTCTTTTCGTTGGTCAGCCGGTTAGCGCGGTCGATGCCAATAATGGAAGCACACACACACACCAGAAACGAGGGAGCTGGACTGGATTCCCGGGCCCGATATGGAAATCCGTCCGCTCTCGTCTTCCAGCACGAGACTGTCATCTTCGCTCGTGAAGCTTCCCACTGGCGCCTGTAGTCGCGAGCACAATCACAAGTGGCTTGTTGGTTCCAACGTGACAAAAAAGCTGTTGCAGTCGTACAGCGATCGGCAGCGCAAACGCGTTCACCATTCAGACATCATTTGCTTGCAAACTTCAAAAAGGTACCAATCCAAACAACCATATTGCATGCATGGGGTTGGACTACATGTCCCCAAACTCACCCCCCCCTATAAATCATTACAATCATTTTTCACCGCCCTGACACGCGCCCCCCCCAGTGCCATCGGGGTCGGGTTTTCGTCGCTTGGCAACGACGTTGTAAAACAAGCCGCCCCCCCCGGTGTTTGCCATCGGGATTGGGTTTTCGCCGCTTGGCAACGATGTTGTAAAACAAGCCAATTCACTTCGTGAACTCGGCAACCAGATTACCGTTTTATTTTTATTAACTCTTTTTTTTTTGGCGGTAACCATAATGGTGGTCGAGTAGATCATGTTGTGCGGGATGGAGAACCCTCGCTCCGCGTAAGGGGGATGATCGCACCACGTTGTGTCAAATTAGTCAAGCACCCTCGAGGCAGT